TTAATTTGCAAAGTTTCCTTCAAACCTGTGAATCCCCTCCACAGCATCTCTATTTGTTGCAGACATTCATTTGATCAAGTCATGAGTTCTTAGTACCAACCCATGTTTTGCTGCATATATTCCTCTTTTCCATCACAAAATTATAGTATATAAATGCACTCAATTATCATTACATTAAAAATATTCCCCAAGTTGGCTCTTAGAATGCAGTGGTACTGACAAATAATGATCACTGGTGTCATGTCAACACAAGCGAAAGCAATTATTTTTCAGCCATCTAACACCACAAAAGCAGATGTAGGAAGAAACTACCAATTAAAGATGAAAATACTTAAGGTCAAGTATATAGTCTATGATTAAACTGATACTTAATGCACAATTTTTCTTTCAGTATTTTGTTGAGCTCTTTCCCTATATTACTAAAAATGTGCTGTTTGAAGCTCTTTGGTTACAGGTTTCAGACCACTCCTACTTTATTATTGGGCTTGTGTTTTTAGAGTGAGTTGGTTGGCTGGACCCTGGGCATTAGCTTATCTCTTGAAATCTTAAATGCATCAGGCAAGCATCAGCAGTCAGATATAATTGCATTTTGTCTACTGCTCTTCAGCTGGTCATGGTTTATGACAAAGCAACAGTTCCCCAGAAGATAATTCCTTTGCTCAGGCATCTCCTCCTTGTCTCCCCCCACACTCCAAACTCCATTTCATCCACGTAACACGAACACAACCCTAAATACTTTCAGGGAAGGAGACTGAATTTATGCAGTTCTAAATGAGAAATCTTGTTCCCAGCCATGTGAATCAGATTTGGGGCAACAGGACTGGAGGGTGCAAGGTGTCCATGGCTTCCCCAAACAATAATTCTCTTGACTCATGTTTCTGAAGCAGCTGCTGTCTCAGAGATAGAGGATTGACCTCTGGCAGGAGTCGTCTAATGATTTATTTGACTTAGGGCATCAAGACAGCCCCATAAAATTCAGTGCAGAAGAGGGCAATATTGAAGTTACCAAGCAGCAGAAAATGCGGTATTTACATCTAAACCACAGAGGTCTTGGGCAAGGAGACAAAAGCACAGGAGCTTTTCCTGAGTGTTGGGTACACTTTGTACCCAACCCCATAGAGGGTAAGAAAATGGAAATCATTAAGTGTGCATTTTTAAAAGACGTCAGTCTTGAAAACTCAGTTGCACACTTGCTGTGTTATTTTCTGATACTCCTGAAGCCAGCGAGAGTAATGTATCTCTCGTATTACTAGAAGGCTTCTGAAAGCACCACTCATCCTCTTTAACTTCAGGTGGCTGCACCAGAAACAACTCCATCTGACCCAGTCACCACAGTCCCCTTTTCCAGGCCAGGGGGAGAGATGGATACTTGCACCAGTGATCTGTCAGATGTACTGCACACATCTGTTTTAGGATAAGATGATCTGTTTTCTCCGTGCCTCTCTGGTGGGATGGCTAATTCAGCCGCAGACCTCTGTGCTCAGACATACCCATATCCAGTACCCTTGGAAACTGGTACAGATCCAGAGGCATAAAGCCATTGTGAAGGCAACTTGTACTGAAGTTGTGCTTGTGCAACCACGAACAGGCTGGAGCTCTTGTTTTTGTGACACTTGAGAGGGGAGTTGCTCTCCGAAAGAAGCAATGTGCCTGCTAGTCCAGCTGCTTGTAGAGGCTGGGTGGCACTGCTTGCAGACCCAAGACTCAGATCTACATCCATTGCTGTCACTATTAGGAATCTAGAAGTCAGCCTTCACCATGATATCTACATATATAAATAGGGCAAAACCCAGTACAGTTGAGCTACCAAATGTAAACATCCTCAGCAGGATCCTCTACAAAAGTGAGAGATGACACTGATTTTTACACCAAGGACTTGGCAAGGACATGACAGTGTGCAAGGATAGTCACTGATGTGCAGGGGGGGCTGTTTCGGGATGTGACTGAGTTTTTAGTCTCTCCTCTCCAGAAGAGGGGTTTTGTGTTCTCGTGAAGGAGCTCCCTTGCTGTTCCTATGTGACATCAGTCTATAAAAGCACCATACTGGAGCAGACCACAGTGCTGCCAGCCCAGTCCCCTGCCTGTGAGAAGGCACAGCCAGAATCTGAGGGAAAGGGTGTCTAAACATTGCAAGTGTACAGTGATGTTTCTCTCCATGGGTCTAAGCTCAGCTTCATTCTGTGATTCTCTCAACTTCCACAAAACCCTGAGACAACAAATTCACAGTTTAGTTATGTGTCATGAAATTGTACTTCCATTTATTCTTTTTAAACTTGCAGCCTGCTCTGTTCATCCCTCCATTCTTGTTCTTCACTCACTCCCTCCACCAAGATCTCCTCTCTCTCCAGACTGGAGAGTCCATATCAGTTTAGTGTCTCCTTGTGTGGAAGCTATACACTTTTAGGGATAGAGAAGTGAGAACTGAGTATTGTTTTCAAAATACAGGCCCACCATGGATTAATGGAGTGGTTTAATAATGTTTGCAGTTTAATTCTCTGTTCCTTTGCTGACATTTGATTGCTTTCACATTGTTAAGCATTGAACTGTTATTTGCAGGAAATAACTGTAAGGACTTCGAGATCTCTTCCCTGAGTGGTAATAGCTAATTCTGAGCCCGTCACTGTTTATATCTATAGCTAGAGTTGTTTTTCTGTGTGCATTACTTTGCATCTATCAACACTGAATTTCTTCTGCCATTTCATTGCCAGTCACTTAGAATGATGGCATACTTTTGCAGTTCTTTACCAGCAGGTTTTATTTTCAGTACTTGAAATTACTTTGTGTTATGACTACTTCTGTCAGCTCACTAATCATTTGCTCTTTCAGGTGGTTTTTGACTATGGTGAGCAGCTCGAACTCCATCAGTAGCTTCCCACCCCCTGTTTCCTGTGTCTTAACCGGTTGGTAGCCTATGAGACCTTCCCTCTTACCTGCAGTTAATAATGAATGATAAATAGCTGATACTGATAAAAATCCAAGCATGGAGATATACTGGCCCCATGAAGGAAACTCCTCTATCGTGCAGGGCGATGCCTGCAGCTGGTGGGGTGGGCTGCCTGCTGGAGCTCACCGTCCTAGCAACTGCAAGAGGAGTTCATGGTGGCAAGCTCAGGTCTGGATATCTCTGTATTAGCTACCTAAAATGGGTTGGAAATTTAAGGTTGCTGGTTTTCTCTAATTCATACTGTTTGTGTGTTAATTCATGGTTTATTAGAGTCCCTGCCAGTTTGCCTAGTGCATACCAAGGAGTAATGCAGCACTTTGATATCCGAGATTCTTTAGGGTGAACACCATCTGCTCTTAGTAAATTGTTATTATTAGTTTATCAATTTTTCTGAAGAACTCTTCATCTGCTGCTTCAGTTTAAGAGTCTTTCCAATTATTAAGGGATTGGAGCATCTGTCATGCGAGAAGAAGCTGAGAGCACTAGGGATATTTAACCTCAAAAAGCAGTGGCTTTATCAGTCTGTTTAAATACCTCTTGGCAGGGGGAATACAGAAGATGGAGCTGGACTCTTCATAGTGGTGCCCAGTGAAAGAGCATGAGGCAATGGGCAAAAATTAAAATATAGATTTCCCTTAAATATTAATACTTTATTTTATTTTATTTTATTTTTATTTTTTTACTGTGAGGATGGTTGAACACAGGCACAGGTTTCCCAGATAAGTTGTGGAGGCTTCAGCCTTGGAGATACCCAAAACTCCAAATGGGTACAGTTAGCAATCTGCTCTAGCTGACCCTGCTTTGAGCAGAAGGTTTGGATGGATTATCTCCAGACGTGTCTTCAGCCTCAGTTTTTCAGTGATACCACCACGTAATGCAGGCTGTAACAGTGAGACCCTCCCCAAGCTCTGCAGTGAATATTCCTGCAAACATGAGCTGTTTTGTGGTGGCCTTGCCTTTCTTGGGCACTCCCTGTACACCTTAATCATCTTTTAGTTTTTATAGGCTCTCTGGTAGGTTTTTGGCTTCTGGAAAAGGCTTTTAGTTTTTATTCTTTTCAGAATATTGCTTCTTCAAACATTTTCTGGCCTTATCATGACCGGATTTTGTGCTGTTTTCTGTTTTTCTCATTTGGACACAATTTCCACTTTCTGAAGAATGTAATTTTACTCCTAATAGTCGCTGTTACTCTTCTATTTAACCACGAGAACTCCTTTCTGGTCCTTTTTATAGGTGATAAATATTTACTCTAAGCCCCTAATATGGTTCCTTTATGTAATTTCCTTGCCACCTCCAAGCAGTTTATCTTTTTGGTTCCTTGTCCTGGTTTTGGACGGGATAAATCACCTTTCGGAGTGCCTTTTAACATTGTCAGCTTGGATTACACATCTAACTTTAAAATAAGGGTAGTTTTAGCCTGTGAATCCCTGCTGTGTGCGACCTGCCCCATTCCTAGTATTAAAAAAAAGCTGTTTTCTTGCCTGGAAACTACAAGACTGTGTAGGACTCTAGCGAAAAAATTGAGGCTTGTCTTCATCCATTTCACCATCTCTGCATAATATGGATTAATTTACTGACAGTTATGTCTAATTAATTGCATGAATAAATAAATATTTTATGTTAAAGTTCTTCATAAAACCACCTGCTTGACTTTTTTTCCCAGTAGCTGATACTGAAGGTCTTCACTGTTATTCTGTTAAAAATGAACAAACCTCTTCATATGAGCTTGATAGATTTGGGGAAATAACTCTACTTTGTCAGCCATATATTACTGTAACAAGAAGGAGGGTGTCATCACCGAGAACCCAAACAGCCCAACAGTGGCTTGCTTTCATTACTGGTGATTTATATTGATTATTTTGAATTTAAAATTGTACTTGATGTAACTGGATATTTGGGACTGTGAATCGCACACAGACACTACTGGGACAAGTACCAACGTCTATAGTGTAGCCTTGGCAGGTGCTGTTCATTGGTGTGATGGATTCGGTGCCTGCTCAGCATGGGTGTAAATGTGGGGAGACTAATAAAGCCTCATCCCCTTTGTCCCTGCCAGAACATCCACCTGGTGACCAAGTGGCTGAGTCCCCTGGAGAAGAAGCTGGAACAGCACGGTGAGGGCAGCCACCAGGATTTCCGCGTCTTCCTCAGCGCAGAGCCGGCCCCCTGCCCTGACAGCCACATCATTCCGCAGGGCATCCTGGAGAACTCCATCAAAATCACCAGCGAGGCCCCGGCTGGGATGCACGCAAACCTGCACAAAGCCCTCGACAACTTCAGCCAGGTAGGAGCGCAGCGGGGCTGGCGCGGAGCTGCTGGAGGGCCGGGCCGGGCGGGGGGTGGGCGGCACTGCTGCTCCCCCGCAGCAGATGTGTGAGCGCCTTTGCACCGCGCGGGCTCTGGATCCGGCAGCCCCCTCCTCCCTTCTCCAGGAGCTGGACACAGATCTCTTCTGAAGCGCCGATTTCCCCAGGAGAGGACTCCGGTAATCCCGAGTGGCCTCTTTCTTGCAGGTCACGGGATACCAGACTTCTGCCTGCTTTAATCATTTCCTCACCAATGTATGATCCTTAGAATCGATGATTTTGTTACAGAATCAAACTAATGAACGCAGCATTTGGGAGACTTGTCATGTTTCAATTTGATTGATGTGTCTGTATCACTCCTTTTTGGACTGGCAAGCGACATATTGCATCTAACCCTCAAAGACATGGTGAGGCAAGCCAGTTAAACCTTGCTTTTTTGCCCTTCTGTTTAACCAGGGTTAGAGGTTCAGAGCTGCTGATAATCACATCCCGCATCGCTCTTCAGAGCAGCTCAGGGGGACTTGGTGATCTGTGCCCAAAGGCCATTCAGCTAAAAACCTTGCTGACATCAGAACTGTTGCAAATTAGAGCTGAAATATCCCTGCAGGGAGGACTTGTTTTGCCAGATGAGGGTAAAGTAGGCCACCTTGAGAACTGCTGGCCCACAAGAATAGCCAATGGCAGGTTTCTTGCTTTTATTGCATGGTGGCCACACGCACCCACTCCTGTTACAGCAGGCACTGTCCCCACTCTTTGTTGTTGGAACCGCAGCTGAGTCTCTTGTGCAGGGGACCCAAAAGCCAAGCATGTGGGAATGATGGGAAGCATTGTTTTCATGGTGCTGCAGAGGGAATGGATCAGTGTCAGAGTCCTCGTAATGCAGTGATGAAATGAGCCTGCTCTGTGGCCGCGCTCGGCAGCTCGGGGCACCGCAGGCCCGTGGGGCGGGCGCCAGGAGCGCCGCAGGGAACGGCCGGTGCGCCGAGGCGTGCGGGAGCCTGGCGAGCCTCCCGGCGGGAGCAGCCCTGCTTCTGCTGACCCCGTTTGCTGCATGACACTAAGGGCTAAGGGCTGACCGCTTGCATTTGTGACGATACCTTTCCTAGAGACACAGACCGTTGCGTTCTGCTGCCCTGAGCACTCATTGCATTTGTTCACACGTCACCGTGACCTTGGCATGACAAGCTCTCACAGCAAGACCCTGACTGTTAAACCTAGAGCAACCAGAAGGGCCTGAAGGTACCTTCATCCCTCAGATTGCCTTTTTGGATCTCTAGTTCTGAAGTTACTATGGCCTCTTCACTCTGCTGATGGCTGTTCTGGGAACATGCAGGGCAAACATTGCAGGTTTGCTTTCTTTTATCTCCATACAGCCTCTTGTCATTTGGGACCAGGCAAGAGCAACACCAGTCTATTATGGATGCCAGGCACTGGTCCATGGGGCAGAGAAATGGGGGCAGCTCACAACTATTTTTGTGCTTAGATGTTGGTATGGAGGGAATCTCAAGTGCAGGAGCTAACATTGCTGAGCAGATGAGGTGGGGAAGGACAACGTAAGGATTAATGTGAGTAGTCTGGAAAGATTATTCCATTTTTATCTATTGTCATTCATTATCTTGAACTCCATGAAATGTCCTGGAGAGCAAGGAAGGGGAGCACCTTCACCCCAAGTGACCTTTTCATCCTGCCTGTGGTCATTTCAGTCGCTAATTAGCATTTTCTAAATTGCTGGAGTATTATAAAACATCTCATCAGAAGTTCTGGAGTGAGTGGGTGGGGCCCCTTTACACCTCATTTCCCTGCTTTATACAGAATGGGCGTTCAAATTTAGCTTTCAGCTGAAATCTACAAAGAAGTTCCCTTATTCTGTGTGGGGAATATTCTGCTTTGTAGCTGAAGAAAAATGCACAACTAGAGAGGCTGAATGAGGCTGAGCTGGATTCTTACTCAGAGTTCATTCAGGTAAGCTCCCCTCGAAGTCCAGGGATGTTTTCTAAAGTAAGAGAGGTGCTCAGCACATACTTGAACCAGTTCTTCATCAGGTTGCTGATAATGAAGGGAGCTTAGAGTGCTGTCTAAGGGGAAAAGGGGTTGGGTTGTTCTTGATCACCTATGCAGTTAGTCAACATCTTGCAGACTTTAGAGTAATGGATTCCCCCTTTTCAGCAGAGACCCTGAGCTCTGATACGCTCCCAGGCTGATTAGAGATCTAACATTGGGGGGTTTTAAGATAAAGACAATGAAGGGAAGTCACGTGCGTGCTCTTTGTAGTCTTTGTTGTGTAACAGAATAGACTTAAAGGGGCTGTAACTGGGGGAGGGAGGACAGAGGGGCTGGTGTATCTACTCCCTTCTTGCTCAGATGTACACATCAGAGACGCTGTGCCCTGGATATGCTATTCCCAGGGAGGGTTTGCAGACGTGTGGATGAAGGTGCAGACAAGCCCTTCCCAACATGTTCATCCCCCAGGCCTGGGTTGATCTGTACTTTCAGCTGTGGGAGATCCCATCACAGGGGATCCACTGCCCAGCCACAATGCTCTTGCCAAAGCAGTGCAAGCTGTGCCAGCCTCCACCTGGCTTCAGCCACCAGAAAAGGGGTTCAGCTTACCCCGTGAGAGCTGAGCTTCAGCCTCATGCCATGCAGACAGCTCCAGCCCTTCATCCCTTCTGCTGTTCTGCTTTCCCGTAACATCGCTGTTCACACTGCTGGGAACAGGCATGGCTGCCCAGGCTTCCCCTCGCTGCCCGCCTGCTAAGACGTCACGCCCAGCACCAGCCAGAGTTCTTTGGAGACCAGTTCCCTTTGTTCATTTTCATTGATTAAATGACTCAGGCTCCCGCCCCTCCACCTCCGACATCATGAATCTGCCAAGTCCATTGTAGACATTCAAACTTCAAGTGTCACTTGGGAGTTGGGAAAGGAAGCACCCGTTGCTGTGCTGGCTTTAAAGGGCTGCATTAGTTTGGGGTTTGTGGTTTTTTTTTTTTTTTTTTTTTTTTTTTTTTTGCAAGTGGTTGATCTCCCCCGCTTGGATTTTTAGCAGTTTCTCACACCCCTGCTTTGGTGTGCTGCGCAAGGTCATGCTGTCAGCGGATACGCTGCTGCAGCACACGGCCAGGCTGGCTCTGTGCAGAGGGTCACAGCAGCACGAGCGCAGCCTCTCTGGGGTAACTCCCTGCTGCTTCAGCCCTGCAGCTCAGAGAAATGCTGCCCCAAGGAAAACTTTGTACTCAAGGGGCAGGATGAACTTTAGTTCTTCCAGGTATAGTCCGCCTCGGCAGGAGCCTTGCCTTGGGCTGCAGTCCCAGTGCTGCCGTGGCATGCTTGCCCTGTGTGGTGCCTCCCATCACCCCTCTGGTGTGGGATGTGGGGCACGTGCAGGCGATGGGGCGTCAGGCATGTGTCCTTCCCTTCTTGGCTGTCAGTATGTGTACCTGGGCAAAGTCACTTTGAGTTGGACAAGTAAATATTAATTCTGAAAGTATGCATCAGAATTTGCTGATAAACGTGCAATGTAAACTTCAAAAATTAGTGAATGTGCTTATTATGCAGAAATTAACTGATTGGGCACATCAGTTCACCCCTGTCTGAAATCTGGTGTATTTGGGAGGCCCAGAGAGTCACTGAGGCTGAGGGCAGTGTGGACTTACGCAGCCCTGCCTCTCCGCCTTTATTGCAGGACACCCTGGAGATGTGCACCCGGGAGAATGAGTTCAAGAGCATCCTCTTTGCCCTCTGCTACTTCCATGCTGTGGTGGCAGAAAGGCGCAAGTTTGGCCCCCAAGGCTGGAACCGTTCCTACCCCTTTAACACTGGCGACCTCACTATCTCTGTGAACGTGCTGTATAATTACCTGGAGGCCAGCTCAAAGGTGCGTGAATCAAAAGTGGGCTGTTCAGTGGCTTCTGACCACCAGTGACGGACTGGCTTGTGCGGGAACTCCTGGGAAGTCTCCTTAAATGCCATTTCCTTGGTATCTTTGGTTTCATAACTTCACAGTTTGGTATACCTTCGTGGTGAGATGGGACACTCCAGTGCCACTTGCATCTGTAGCAGCTTACAGACAATAGCACATAGTTCTTGTGGTCTTTATTAATTGAAAATGCATAGTCGTCTTCCTTTGGTTTAACAGAGCTTAGAATAAATTTGCATTTCAGTGGGAAACTGCACAAAATCTCTGCTGTCATCCAGTTGTCCTTGGGCAGGATTTAACCTACCTAATGTTTGTTTATTTAGAAAACTGAAATAGTGAAGTGGAAGAGCTCATTGTGCAGATCAGTGCTTAGTGCTGTAGCCTGGAGCTCGACCACGTGGCTGGTGGAGCTCTGGCTGTCTGAACTCCTTCATGCCCTCCTGGTTCATTCTTCAGGTCCCATACGATGATTTATGTTACCTCTTTGGTGAGATTATGTACGGAGGGCACATTACAGATGACTGGGACAGGCGACTTTGCAAAACCTATTTGGAAGAATTTATTAAGCCAGAAATGATGGAGGGAGAACTCCTCCTTGCTCCAGGATTCCCCCTCCCAGGGAACATGGACTATAATGGCTATCATCAGGTAAGCTCTTTGTTTTCTGGCATTATTTATACACATAAATGTAATGTCTTCCATAACTACCCTATAATCTGTCTTAGGAGGCAGTGAATAGGACTGCAGTGTTTCCACACACCTCCTGTTATTTCCCATTATGTTCTGTTTCTATAGACATTTCAGCATTCCCTTGGATGAACCAAGTCTAATGGTAATTTGCTACTTCATCATGGGCTCATTCTGTTCATGCATGAATAGAACAACTGTATTGGTTCTTGAGACTTGAGCGGGGCTCCTGGCAAATTACATCCACATACTCTTTGCTAAAATGGCCCTTTCAAGCACCTTTTATCATCAGTTTCAATGAGAAACACTGAAGGGTCTTGTTGATTTGCTTACAGATTTCATCTGTTCTTTGTAGACAAATGTGGTAGCAGAGATAGCCATATTAAGCTGTTTTTCTTCATAAAACTTAACTACTGGAAGCTAAATTCCCACAACAGATTTCAGGATATTGATGCTCAAATGCACAGTGGCTAATTGCTAGAGAAGGTCCAGGCCTGAGGTATGTAGTCAAGCCAAACTTTAGCAATTACTAGATTCTCACAGCAGGAGTAGAAGCAGTTCTGTAAACAACTGTACACTTCTTTCTCCCATCAGTTCAATGGTGTTTAAGCCACAGGCAGGGTTATAGCAGCCCGGACTGTCTCGGATGGGTGATAATTCCAGAGCCGTGAACTCTGCAGGCAAAGTGCCCTGGACTCTGTATCTAACCTGAACCTGGATTTCTCCATACAGTACATAGACGACGCCTTGCCTCCAGAGTCTCCTTATCTGTATGGCCTCCATCCCAACGCTGAGATTGGCTTCCTTACCCAGACCTCAGAGAAGCTTTTCCGCATCCTGTCGGAGATGCAGCCCCGGGACACCAGCGGGGGTGAAGGAGGAGTGGTGACCAGGGAAGAAACGGTGAGAGTGGTAGAGGAAGAAGCTGTTGAATTTTGATACCTGTCTCATTCATAAATAGTACTGTCTAGCTCATGTTTGTCTCACAGCTGCTTATTATAGTGCGTTCTGGATACAAACTGAGTGTCTGAAACCACTAGCCTCATATTATGCAGAACATCACCATGCTGGGATGTAATTGGAGTATTGTCAATAATAGGACAGTAGCTTTTAATTACCCCCTGAACTGCAGTGCCTTCATTATCATCCTGTGAAGATGTTGCAAATAAACCTTCTGTGGCCTCCACTGTCTCTGAGCCACGGGTCCCTGTGCACCATGCTGTGACTGGCATAGCAATGGGCTCCCTGAGCGCACCGGCTGCCAGGTACAGCGTGCCACCCACAGTTCAGCCCACCACGTCCCACCCAGATCCCAAGCTCCTAGGGGCCTTGTAATTTCTTATTTCCATCTGAACTCCTTCGCTATGCCTACGTAACAGGCTGATCTCAGCCCTTCTTCTCGAAACTCACAGCTCATTAAAATCTGGCCCAAGCATTCATAACAGGATCTGAAAAAAGCCAACACATGCTCAGTTTTTTATTTCTACAGTCGTAAGGTCCCAGCTCTGTGTTTCAAGCTTTGCAAATTAATGAATGGCTGATAGACAGCTTATAAGAAGTCTGTGGTTTCACACACGCTTCCTTTGGCTTAGTGTGGAGCTGGGGAACTTACTGCCTTCCCCTACGGGGCTCTTAGAAGTGCTCAGCATATTCAGTTTTCAGTTCACACTGGAATTTGAGGTGAGGGGAGTAATCCAGAGCTAGCAAGGCCAAAGCAGATGCTCAAAGATAGCAAATGTGACTACCTCTTCTCCCCTCCCAGTTCTTTTGCTATCGAAATACAATTAAGCTCCTTGGCCAGAGAAGCAAAATCATCAGCAAATGATCCAACAGTGGTATCACAGGGCATGGCTACCCTGAAAACTCCTGGTGTCTGTCAAAAAGACAGTCACGGGAGCACAGAAGTCCCCATGGCTTTTGTGATCTCTCTGAAAAGAAAAGCTGCCTGAAATTGGGCGTTGTGCCTAAGAGGATGCTCCCACAGCTAATTCTCTTCTGGAGGTGATCTCTCTAATCATCTGAGCTATAACTGGCACTGGCTGTATCCCTTTCACTTGGTCCTTGAATGAGAGTGAGTTGAGTTGTCTCTTAGCTACTCCATTTGAGGATTTCCAGCCCCTGGTTTGGCTGAGATGGTTGTAGGGAGCTTGCAGAGAAACTGCAAGCCTGTAATTTTCCTGAGGCTCTGACAAGTCCAGTTACTTCCACAGGTTTCTGAGACCACATTACAGAAAACGAGCTGTAATTGTTGTGAAAAAATCAGAGCCAAAGTGATTTGCAGGGGAATTTCAAATTAGAAGGTATTTCTATACTGTCTGGGGTGTGATGAAAAGCTTTTCCAGCTGAGCTTTAGCTTTAACCACCTAGCTGGTTGCAACACCAACCTACACATAAGGGTTTGGAAGAGCAGCAGTAGGAGGATATTGGAGTACAGAGTCCAAACTATGAATGTCAGTGGGCATGTCAATAAAATTACCCTGGGCTGCCTCTGCTGCTGGCTGGCAGCTGTCACCGATACCTGCAAGCCAGGTTTTGCACATCAGATCATAGAACTGTAACTGTGCGCAATGTGTTCCTGAAAAATCCCCAGGAAGCAGAAGTCTCTCCCAGGTTCCAGCACAGAACTAAAGAAAAGCATCGTGTGAGAGACTTCCATACCAAGCTGCCTAATGGCCCACGTAAACCTGACAGATACAGCTGATCCTGTGAAGATTAGGGGCTTCATGCCTCATTGTCAACCAGAAAGGTTTTTGTCTGTTTTATTTATTTTTTAGACCTAGAAACATCCTGCTGCACTGGAGCTTTTTCTGTTTAGCATTTAGAGATATAAAGCACTGTTTCCAAATCAAGCTGTGATGGTGACCAAAAAATAATTTTGTTTCATTATGCTTTTCTTCTATGGCTCTATTAGTTCAGAATGCCAAATTCAGCTTAAAATTCAATTTTATATAATCACTACTCTCTATCAATATACCACAAAAAAACAGCTCATAAGCTCATTGTCCTGAAGCTCAGCTGAGTCTATAGCTTCATCCATCTACTTGCATTGAATCTGACCTTAGGAGAAATAAGAATACAGGCTTGAGACCCAAGAAGAAAGGAGATGGCTGCATGTCATAGTGACATTTTTAAACCATCATTTTGAAAGCTTCTCATCTGACATTAACTTTTGTAAGCATCTGAATTTTAATAGGATGGAGCAAGCTCTTTGAAAGGTGTCCTGCCCAGCGCAGCTGACACTGACTGTTTTGCAGACACTAACTGGCAGATGGAGTTTTCGTACTGCGTTCAGGCAGCTGTCAGCTGAGGAAGCTCAGTGGGTCATTCACAAACATCCCTCTCGTTTTTCCCTTCGACACACAGGTGAAAGCCCTTCTGGAAGAGATGTTAGAGAAATTGATGGATGAGTTTAACATTGCAGAACTGATGGCAAAGGTGGAGGAGAGGACGCCATACGCTGTGGTTGCCTTCCAGGAATGTGAGCGCATGAACATCCTCACCAGTGAAATAAAGCGTGCTCTCAAGGAACTGGACCTGGGGCTGAAGGTAGGAGCTCTGGACGCCTGCGACTATGACATTGTACAGTCTTGATGAATGGAAAAGGTGTTCAGGGAATAAAAGGGGTTATACGCTGTATTCAGCACTGCTGGCTGCAAAACCAACTTGACTCTATGGAGAAGGGTTCACAGATGGATTTCGAACGGCACATTGTCTGCAGGCCATGAGCACAGGCACTAGGAGAAGTTAAAGGTATATATCGCAATGAGTGCTTTTGGGGAACAGATTGGGCACTTCTGTCTACCTGATACTGTAGCACAGCAACAATAGGTCACTCAGAAATTGAGATGTGACCTATTTAAAGGTAAGCCAGAACATCACACCTTTTCACAAAATGCTCAGGTACTGGGGGGAACTTAAATTGTCATTAAAGGCACGAGCTGAGCTGAAATCAAAGTAAAGACTGGTCATGTGTAAGCACACAAAATGTTCAGAGCTATAAGAGAAGAAGTTTTTAACTCAAGTTTTGGAAGAGATACAGCTCCCTTTGCTGGGTATGAGTCATTTGCTAATGGAGATCTTCCCTACGGAGATACTGTGCATGACTGCTCCACCCACAGCGGCTTCTCCACCCTGGTAAGACACTAGACTGCTCCAGGAAGGTGATGTCTGTGCCTCTCTGGGAATTGGCTTTGGCCATTGCTTATGGAGAACAGGGAGGAGCTCAGGTAGGATGCGAATTTCTGGGTTCAGCAGGATGTGCAAGAGGGCTGTGCTTTGAGCCTGCATCCACTGGTAGGGGAAGTCATCTGCTGAATCCCCTCCCAGGCAGTTAGTGGGACAAAATATAAACAGCTGCTGACTGCCCAGGAGGGGGTAACCCAGCATAGATCAGACTGCACTGTGAGTGAGGACCTGCCTAGCCAGCCCTGGTGCTCTGTCACAACGCTTCCCCTTCACCCGGTCATCCCAAAAGACTCCTCTTCACCATAGCCAGGTGCTGTCCATCCCTTGGAAAGGCCTCAGTGTAGCAGAGGAATGCTGCCTGGAGCTTTCAGCACAAAGCTGGTGGCTTCAGCGCTACCTCAGTGCCTTCCCTGCATCTTCAACACAAAGCTGCTCCCTGGGTGATTTCAGGGTGTGAGTCAGCGATTAAGGACATTATTCACTGGGCATTCCCTGTTCCACCGTTTCCTGAATGACAGGTTGTCACCCCATTTCACCCAAATGCTCAGCTTGCACAAATACTTTGCGTAACATGGGAACTGTCACACTTGAAGGAACTGCAACTAATTTGTATGACCCCATGAGTAGAAAGAGCTGACAGGTGAGCAAGGAGGACCTGACCGAATGACAATCCCGACCCTCTTCTGAGGGCAGCTTTGAAAAGAGATCTGTAAAAGACTTATCTGCAGCATGCGTGCAGAGATGCTAGGGCTGGCTCTGGGATTTTAGGTAGCTGCAGCTCTGCAGGGATAGGACTAGGCTGCTTCTAAATCCCAGCCGTGTTCTGCTGTACACTGTGAACCCAGCAACTTGGGTCCGTGCTAGCTCAGACGTTTCTGCATTGCGTTCACTGCTGATGTTTCTTGTTTTGATTAAAGAGAGAGGCATATAATATACACTTCATGGTGGCCCAGTATGTACAATCTGTTTTAAAATAGGCTGATATTTTTGTGGTCAATTATTGTAATTATTTTGTAGCATAAGGTGGTGAAATTGAAAATTCTCTTTCCTGAAACAGGTAAACAGAAGTGATTTAATATTTCAATCCTGGAGCACCTAACAAGATACAATTATAAGTGGGACAATGTCTAGCAATTAGATTTAATGAGGAGAAGAATAAGCTATTTAATGTTGATAGAGAGAATGAGTGGATACATGGGCTTAAATAAACCACAGACAAAAACCACAGAAATGAGGCAATAGTAAGGGGTGAAAATTTCTCCCCCAAACCCTGCCAGAAATCATGGCAGGGAAGTGAGATGGTGTCTACAGAAAAGGCACCTCTAATACTACAAAGTTGTAGTACTGGACAGGTTGGTCCCTACAGCCTCAGTACCTACAGCGTGATTCAGAGACACCACAGGGCCAGGACTTAAGGACTACGGAAGAGCAGATGAGCAGCAGTATCTATTATTTATGTTGGCATTTCTTCACCTTGTGTGTGCTGAAGACACAGATTTGAAATGTCTGAAATACCACCAGAGGGCAATTCTTCTGTGCCTACAAGCAAAGGTTGCATATGGGTCCCTGCAGAGTTGTTAGAAATCGTGTGTGACCCCCACTGCTGCCCAGCACCCCCCAGGGGGCCCTTCCCATGCCTTGGGTACCACATCACGGCCAGGAGACCCTTGGCCCTGCTGTTGGCTTTTTCTGCAGGCCGTGCCCCTGTCCTGACTTGACAGCTAGGTCTCACACTCAGTTTGGGAGAGAAATCATTCTTTAATTGTTCCTTCTGAGAGCAGCTCTTATGAGAGTTGTTAATGCACATTAATCTCTGGGATTGGGGATCTTTACTGACAGCACTCAGAGGAGGAGAGTTATACATAACAGGAGCCACAGATCTCAGAAGAGAATAAATAAAACACAGAGGAAGCAAGTCTTATTGTTTTTAACTGGCTATCTGCTAAAAGAAGGCGATTTAGAAATGTCATGCCTAATTTGAATTTTTGAATAATTCATTGTGTCTCTGTAGCAGAAAGTAATTGTTTGGTCCAAAAATAGGAGACATCCCATTAAGAGGAAGAGAAATTGCAATAGACTGGTAGCCATCAAAAATAACTGGCATGTTGCGCTTCAAAGCCCTTTGTTCTGGATGACTTCGGTGAGACCAGAGGCTGGGCTGAAACACTTGCATGTTAATGTTGTACCCAGTGTCATTTTAGCAAGCAGATTTTCTATTCTGCAACTTCAGTAAAGGATAAGCCTCAAAATGGGGATAATAAATATTATAAAAGAATGAAGTGAGACCAAATTTTGTAAGACTAGACTAGCTGGGTATTTCACTATATCAAGTGAAAATATCCTTAACTGAGAAAACAATTTCTGACAATAATCTGCTCATTTTGAGGGAATGTCTACAGGCTGATTAGGATTTCCTTCAAGGGTGTCTTTAATGAAAATTACTCCCAGCATTCTGGAAAAAAAAAAAAAAAAAACCAAACCTCAAATCATTTCTGATGCACTTTATTATTCAGCATCTGAAATGCAAATTTATGCTTAATTGTGTTTGGACAACTATATGAGATAGCTGCTATAGATGCTTTGAACCCTCACAGGAGATTCCAACAATTATGCTTGAGAGCACAGGCTTTAAAAATTTCCTTTTTTAAGCTTTCCTGAGAATTACAGTTGCTAATTCATTTGTTTCCTGAAAGTAAAACTTGGCATGATATATGATCATGAGGGTTATGTCTTTAAATCAATTTAACTGCTTGAACATATTTTGCAATATCGTTACCTGCTTTAGAACCTTCCCAGATGTTCCAAATACTTCTGACTGTCACTATTAGAAGGCCCCATGGTTCTCAGTGTCCTGCTGTGACCAGTGCAGTATTTTGCCCCTCGGACTTTTTTTATTTCCTGCATGGTCTTGAGCTTTGAGTGTGGGTCAACTGTGTTATAGATAAAGTGAAACAGCTCAGGTGCCTAGGAGGAAATGCACGGGGCATGTGCTGCCTTTGTATTTCTTTGTCACTTCATGACAAATACCAAAATGAGCCATCTTTAATTTGTGTGTGACCGTTGTGCTTGAAATTACCCAGGACTTTAAAGACCTTTTACCAGGTAACCCATCATTTTGAGATTCCCTACAAATGTAAAATCATTGAATAGAAATAATGGCAGATTTACTGGCAGAGACTTACCTGATCCCTTCTCACATGAAATGACAGAAAATGATGTCTGTTTTGAAAGGTGGTTACAGTTGTTCCTCATGTTTTAATTTTTAAATAATTGCAACCTTATTTGTTGCTATTGTTATTACTTGTTGCTATTTGTTGTTATTTAACCTTATTTGTTGCTTTTAGCTTCAAGAGTGTTAAAACAAAAACCATCTTAAAACCTTTGTACACATGATTTTCTCTATCCACCAGAAATCTGTTCTCCATGGGGAAACCTATCAAGTTCAGATGCTTGCTGCCTTTAAAAGCTTACTACCTTTAACAAGTCATCTTTGGAGCAGAGGTTTAATGATGCTTGGTGCCAGTCCATCCTACTGAGAGATGAACATTTCCCAGGGAGGGCATTTCTGGGTGGAAAACCACAGATCTCAGGGGGGGCAGCTCTGAATGGGGATCCCAGGGCTGCAGTGGCTTCCAGGCATGGTGCTGGGGAGATGCATCCCCTTGAAGTACTGCCATTGCTTATTGCCAGACAAAATAAATTTTATTGTGGATGTTTAGAAACTTTCACAGGGAAAAAGAAAAAAAAAAAATAAAAATAAGAAAGATAAGGGTTGTAAGTCAAGTGCTAAAAAGCCAGAAGTGCTGGGGGGGATATTTCCAGTGCCTGGATTCAGCTGGCACCCTTCATCCCTTTGATAAGACACAGTGTATTGGACAGATGTGCTTTAAGCCCTTTAAGTTGACATCCAGCAGCTGTGAGCTTTGCATTTGCAACAGCATGGTTAGCTCAGAGGATTTCTGTTCTGATGACAAGCTGTCTTCCAAGCTCGGGAGTCTCTGGTCTCTTTGCAATGTACTTCCTTCGAGAAGATGCTTGCTAACCCAAGAGTACCAGCACGCTTGCTTGCCCCAAGTTTTGATCACTCAGCATTGAGCCTGTTTTCACTTGTTAGTGCCAGGTGCAGCATGGGCCATCAACAAGGGCACTCGTTACTGCTCTCCTATGGTCTGCTTGGGTGTCTAGCTCTGATCTTCTCCTACTGTGGCCTCTCGGTGTGATCTGCAGATCATAGCTTTGTGGGGCATGATCAGCGTAGGAATAAACTGCAAAGATTTTTTTAACAGCTGGACTCTGACAAGCATTGCTACTCATGTGTTGGGGTTGCTTCAGGTGGATTTCAACTTCTGCTAAAGCTTCATAGATTTTTGTGGCCCCAGTAAAGGGCACCTCTGCTGACCTCATGGCTGGAGGCACTGACGCCCTTTGAAAGAACAGTTGGAATTTTTTAATGTGAATAGACTGACCCAATTCCCTCACCCTCATTCTCAGCAATAGCTCAACTGATTTCAGTTAATCTTTCCAAAAATACTGAGCCTGAGGCAAAGAGAAATTGTAAGTCAGATAAATTTTGGCAAAATTATAAGGGGACAAAAATAAGTATTTATAATGGAAACCAGTGATTAACATTAGCTATAAGTCACTGAACTGCTGTGGTGTGTTGTACCCCTCTAGCTCAACATGCAGCATGCAGAGACTTAAATTGTGAAGGGCATTACATACCAATAGAAGCTGAGCCTGAAATCAAGTTTTTGTCTTTGCAGACTGCTTGGCTTGGGTGTCACAGAATCACAGGTCAGTTGTTCTGGAGATTGTCTAATCCAATGCCATGCTCCAAGCAGGGGCAGGGAGAGCAGGCTGCCTAGGACCATGCCCTGCTGGGTTTTGAAATTTTCCAAGCATGGAAATTCCACAGCCTATCTGGGTAACCTGTTCCAGTGTTCAACTGCCCTCACAGTAAAAAAGTTTGTACTCGTATCTTAATGGAATATTCTGTATTTCAAGTTGTTCCCATTGCCTCTAGTCCTGTCACTGGACACCACTGAAAAGATTCTGTCTCTGTCTTAACTTCCTGCCATCAGATATTTATAGACATTGAAAAGATCCCCCCTGAGCCATTTTTCTTGAGGCTGAACAATCCCAACACTGGACCCAGCATGCCAGATGTGGCCTCATCAGTGCTGAGCAGCGTGCTGCCATTAACCTGCTGGCAATGCTCCTCCTAATGCAGCCTGAGATGCTGGTGGCCTTTGCTGCAGGGGCACATTGCTGACTCGTGGTCAGCTGCTTGTCTGCCAGGGCTACCAGGACCTTTCCTGCATCTGCTTTCCAGGCAGTTGGTCCCCAGCATCTACTGGTGTACAAAGTTATTCCTCCTCAGGTGCAGGACTTGATATTTCTCTCTGTTGAACTTCATAAGGTTCCTCTCAGCTCAATTCTCTAGCCTATCCAGATCCCTCGGAATGGCAGCACACCCATCTCCGGATATTGTTGGTGACCCTGTGGAAAAGTTTAAGGGGGTAATAGTCTGAGGGCTGGACTAACATCAGCAGTCTTTCCACAGTGTCCTGGATCCAAGTTCCCGACATGCAGTAGATGTCCCCAGACTGCAAGACAGGTTGGTAGACGGGGGCCTCTGTCCTCTGCAGCGGGGAGTCACCTACTGCTGTCACTCCCTGATCCCTCCTGTGCTGCTGCACGGCTCAGGCTCCATCAGCCTGGATGCTTTGATGGACAGAGCTCCCAAGCCCTCATCTCCTACCTGGGCACTGAAACTGTTCTGTAGCTGCAGATCTGCAGGGGGAACAGAAGCCTTGCTCCTGTTGCTGGAAGTCACAAGCTTTCAGCCTTCGCCGTCATGGGAGTCTCCCTCTCTCAGGCAGGCAGGCACAGACTCTGCCTGCCTTCCTTCGAAACGCTTGGGCGCTGAGGCTCCTCTTTTATCTGCAGGGTCTCAGAGAATATCCAGTTGGTCTCTTTCTCATCCTCTCTGATGCTAAGCAGTTTTCATGCCTCCTCCTGCAGATTCTTTACTTGGTGGCACAGGTCCTTCACCAACACAAATCTCCCACAAGCAAGGAGAGAGTCACTGCCTGTAGTCCCAGACATTGTGAGCTACAGCCTCTGTCAGGAGCTTGGTCTGAGTGGAGGCCTCTGCTGTGCCAGGGACGGTTTCTCCAGATGATGCTGGGGACAGTGCCCTGTGGCATGTCACCATCATTGCTAAGCAATGTGTACTGCCCTCAGCAGAGTTTGTGAGCCCCATCTGTGTGCCCCTCTGTGCAACCTGCTGCACAAACTGCTGCATCTCTTAATGGCCTCTTTTAGCTGCCTTTTCAGCATTGGTACCATCCAGGCATCTCTCGTTTAGATTTAATGTAATTTCATCTGGCTACAGCAGGAATTTTCTTAATTTTAGACTAGCAGACACTGGGGACCCTCTGCGGAGTACCAGAAGTTCAACAGGGATGCTGTTATTGTTGTGCAGAACCCTTTTTTGGCCATTCAGTGATGTCCCAGATCTTCTCCTGCCCAGGCAAAACTGATAGAGGTTTCTAAAAGCTTTAAAAATAACTAATTGCTGGATAAATGAAAGTCAAAGCTCTCTCTATATCTCACTTTGCTGAATCAGATCTTAATTTGTTGTGTGTTTCCCTGCTGTGAAAGAAACTGTGATTACATTTGCAGGCAACATGTGAAGTCAAAAAGAACGACTTGCCCTGCAAAGTTATAAAGGAGGAGGGGAGTGAGGGGAAGTGGAGGAGAGGAGGATGATAGGACTTCACACAGCAAACATTTGGAGAGTTTTGGAGTAGATCGTCAGAGACTCCAGTATCCTGCCCTGGCAGTGTGAGTGAGAATAGCTTTGCACATCTGAAAATCTACCCTATAAAGGTCTTCGGTCAATGAGACAAAACAAAAATAACACCGGGACAACTAAGGGACACCCATGCTTGTTGTTACACTGTTACACAACTTTTCCTCCAAGTAGTATTTTACAGTGGGGAAGATGAGGATGCAGAAATATGCATTAGAAAGTGTTCATGAAAACCCAAAACTCATGAAGAAACTCATAGTATGTGAACACCAGTGACTGTGCAGAGTGTCATGCTCTTCCATGCTTCCTAGGTCAGCTTCTGTTTTCAAGCAGGCTTTCTTCAGGTGCGGCAGTTGTCAGTGCTAACCATACCCTTTCTCACTCAGGGAGAACTGACCATGACAAGTGACATGGAGAACTTGCAGAATGCCCTCTTCTTGGACGTGGTGCCTGAGTCCTGGATAAAGAGGGCTTACCCTTCCACGGCCAGCCTGGGCTCATGGTTTGCTGACCTCCTCACTCGCATCAAGGAGCTGGAGGCCTGGACAGGAGACTTTTCCTTACCCTCCACAGTGTGGCTTGCTGGGTTCTTCAATCCCCAGTCTTTCCTGACAGCCATCATGCAGTCCACAGCCCGAAAGAATGAGTGGCCTTTGGACAAGATGACCTTGCAGTGTGACGTGACAAAAAAGAACAGAGAAGATTTTGCCAGTCCTCCTCGGGAAGGGGCGTATGTCCATGGTTTGTTCATGGAGGGTGCACGCTGGGATGCACAGGTGAGCTCACCAAGGCTCTTGTGTTGAAAGAGAAGGCATGGATCGTGCCTTTATTGCTTGGTGCTGTACTCTGGGGAACTTCTCAGCCCAGACAGGCACTCATCTACAATAGCCATTTGAGCTGCCTCTTCAGGAACAGGAAAGATGTGAAAGATGGGCCACTCCTCTGCAGCCTAGAGTGGGTATCCAAGGGGGTCAGATGAATCACCCCTTGGACTTGTCGGTTTCGTGGCTGTGAAGGGAGTTCAAGGTGGCCAGCTTGGACTGATACATCTGGTTCTTAAAAGCTGAATTGCAACCTCAGTGTACATTGACTGAACTGTGGTCAGTTCTCATGGTGTTACTACAGATAGAAAAAGTGGGGTCATCTCAGATCTGTATTGTCTCTGAACCTCCACATGGTTTTGATTTTACTGCTGCCTCCCAAAAGTGACATGGCAGACTTTTGCAGCTTCACTACTCTGTTGCTTGTTTAACAGCAGTGAAGAGAAAGTAGAGAACTCTGATTTCCTACATCTTCATATCCCCAGAGCTGAATGGGTGGGTTGTGCCAAATCCAGATCACTGTCCTTCCATTGTTGGGTGCTGCAGGGTGTCATCTGCCTAGATAGGGTATGTGACCAAAAATTAATCACATCCTTTAGCCATCCCCTTAGGGTGCCAAATAAAGCTCGCATGAAGGTCTGGCCTGTATGATCAATGTGGACTGAGGCTGTTCACTCAGCGTGGAGGGGTGTGGGGGTAGGCTGATCCTGGACAAACAGAACAGTGTGGGTGGCCCTTGCTCTTCTTCTTTTCCCTTCTGGACGTGGCCCAATACCCTTCAGTTGTAGCACAGCCAGTCCCAGGACAGCCAAGGTGAGAACCATGCCCACCAACTGGGTGGCTGAAGGGAAGTTTGTACACTTGCTGTTTCCTGCCCATCAGCGCTCCTCTCGCAGTGCACCTCTCAAGGCAGCATCCCAGAGGAACACAATTGTCCCTGTCATTCCTGCTGGCAGTTGTCACCTGTTAGGAGTGCAGTCTGCAGACTGAGAGCCAATAGGCTGAAAAATCCCTACTGAGCTTGGTCCTCCAAGTTACCTGGACTATGGTACCATGAGTCCCGATTTTTGCTGTGTGTGAGAATTAAATGACAGTGATTCATGCAGCTCTTACTCTGGGCAGCCAGAGCGATGTTCCTGCTGATTGTGATCTGTGAGAGAGTGAAGGCTGGTCAAAGTGGGCCACCCAAAACTTCCTTATCTGTGTCAATTTTACCATCTCACAAGAAAAGGCTTTTATTTCAGAGGCAGCTCTTTAGAGTCTTAACATTGAAGTCTTTTGAAGACCTTTATCTGTTGTGGGGCTTGATGGAGAGAGGCCATGCCTGTTACATGCCATACCCCAACCTGACCTTGAAATTGATATCTAGTACTCTCCACTTATTTTTCAGCTCCCTCTCTGCAGTGGTTTTCCATGAAGGATAGGAAATTAGCCAAAGCTTTGAAATCACCAACTGATGGCATCCAGTGCATTTTATCACAAATCCTTGGGAAGGTCAAAGCCTCAGGCCATTTTCTCTCTGGAAATGGCTTGACATGCACATTGAGTCTGGAAAGCCACAGGCAGTCAGGAACATTGGCAAAGGCTTTGTCAGAAGCTTGCAGTAAAGATCTCACATGGGTATAAGGTCAGATCTCCTGATTTCATGGGTTTGGCTCTGCAAATAGCCAAAGTCACAGTAGCAGAAGAGGGACCAGCCCAGTCCGTTTCCCAAGCCCTGGTCCTACAGTTCCCTGCCTGTTTGCTTGCCTAAACCTTTGGCGTGGCTGCCACATAAAACCCCTTCCAGCTCCTGGAGATCCCCTTACTACGGGGACCACTGGATTTCAGCTACCGTCAAAAACTGACATTTTAAACTGATACAAATCAGCTGGACACAACAGTACAAAGGAAGTTTAAAAAAATTCCTGGCCTTGTGTATCGAATACTCCATTAAAAACAAATTCCAGTGACTGTTGTTATGTTTTCCTTTACCATCATTACCACCATTACTAGGAAATATAATGGCCAAAATGGTGGAGTTCTGCCTAGGTTTTACCCATCCCCACGTGGTAGTGGAAGTGAAGAGTATGAAGATTTGGTGGTGCAAAGCCAGAAATCTTTTGGGAAACACATGGCTTCTCCCCTCTGCCTCTCTCCAATAACTTATATGGGAGATTGCATTCAGCAATGAGGTTTGTCTTCAGAGACCATCCAGACCTTAGCAAATGTGTTTTTCTGGTTACATTTTCCATGTAATTGAAAGATACTGAGCAATTACTTTTATAGATCCATTCATAATCTCTGGGTATCATGCTTCAATTTATTTCAGAAAGAAAAAGAGTATTTTCATATATTGCTGCTCATACTGAAATATTATTTCCACCTAGTGGAACTATTAATTTTAGCTGTAATCCAGTGAGCACCAGTATATATTAATGGATGCAGCATTTTTAAAACAGGTGCACAGTTTCTTTGGGTTGTATACTCCTTCAAATATCAGATCCTCTGATAAGAATGGCAGGTCATGTTTAGAAGAACTCCCCTGGGGAACACCTCCACTTTTAAAAGAATATTTCACATTTAGATTGTGCCTCCAGAAAAAGGAAAAAGTCACTCTATGTTCTGCTACTCACATTTTTCTATTTATTTAAACATTTATGTTTGCCCTTGGGTGTCTTAAATTTATAAAACATTCATTACAGAACAGCAGGCGGCTATTAGATAAAATGAAACCAAACAGGTTATTTTGGGTCCAAATGAGCCGTTGCTGTAGCACCGTTAAAGTCAGCGGGACTCAGTGAGAGTTTGACTGGTGACACCATGAGACATTTTATCTCAAACCATGGGAGATTGCTGACTGATTCTGGGCCTTCTTGTTCCTGGCAATGGAGAGTTTGATGCCAAGCATGTGCCCTGCTACTCTCCAAGGGTATTGGAGCTGGATAGGACAAGGGGAGAGGTGGGTTTTGCACCACGTGGGCTACACGAAGCTTTGCCAGGTGTAGACAACACACCACCTTGTCCTTGGAAGAGCTGTAGAGTCAGTGCACAGCATGCTGAGCTCACTGATGGTACTGTGCCTCCTTTAAGACACCCCAGCTACAGTTTCTATGTACTTTTTAAAGCTAGTCCTTTGTAAAGCTCCAGCCTTAAACCAGTAGAGAGGCTTAGAAGGGCAGATCTGTGTGGCAAGGAACGGTCACATTTATTTGACAGTTCAAGCAGCTTGAGATCTTTGGGAACAGTTGCACACCACTTATTTTTAGCTGAGATGCTCCGAAAACAACATCAGTGTGCAACCCAGCTATGGCACAGCCCCGTTCTTGTGCTACAGTCCCAAACATCACAGCTTGTCACGTTCTTCTGCAGAGACACCAGGGATGTCAAATATCCTGCATCAGAGACTGAAATTTTTCCCAGCGGGGTGAGCTGGGACATCATGTGAACCCTTTTCCTGAAGATGTCAACTGTCAGTAATGCCCATGTATTTATGAGCTATGAGAGCAAGAGTAGGATGTGGCTCAATCTGAGGTCTCCAGTGATAAACGTACAAAGCATCCATGGAGGGGACACTTGCAAATTGTGCTGTGAACATCCAGTCTCTTATCTATGGTTGGTTTGAAAAACTAATAACTTGTCAAACTCTTTTCCATTTGTATCTCAACTCTTAAGCTACTCAGTGACAAAAAGTCCTCTCTCATTTGACTTTGCTGGACAGCACATCATTAGGCCTTCTTCACTTCATGCTCCATGGATGGCTCTTTTTCTTGTTCCCCATGCCCATTTGAAGCCAGTAACCCCAGCAATCTCTGGGCATCCTTGGAGTGGTGTTCCCCACTGGCTACACTGCTGGTCAGATCACCAACCCCATTTCCCTGAAAACAGAGGAAACTATCCGAAAGACACCCAACCTGTGCTTGAAGGACTTTAAGACTGACCCTAAATTACCTGTGGTGCAGGCGTGCCTGTACTAGTAAAACCTCAAAATGCAGTTGGGGGGGGGGGGGCGGATATTGGCTTGCTGCATACGTATTTGGGCCCATCTACTATCATTCCTGGCTTGTGACAGCTGTTTTCTGTCTTTAGACCCACTGATATGTGGCAGCATAGTATGTCGGCTCTTCAAATTGACTGTTAAGAAGCCAGCACAAGCAGAAGTGAAGACTTCTTTAGGATCTGAGGCCTGAGCACAGAACAGTGGCTTTTTACCAGGTGTGCTGTGCCAGTAGCTAGGGAAAACTGCTTTCAGAGTAGAATTAATTTCTGATGATGAGAGCGATAAAAAATGCAAATGCAAATCAGCCCAGACATAACAAAATGATATGTTCCACAGAGATACCTCAGAAAAATTTCAACTCTTGTTAACCCAGAAATAGGTCAAATATATCTTGGAAATTTTATTTGAAGAATTATCAGCAGTAAAAAAAAAAAAAAAAAAAAAAAAAAAAAAAAAAAATCTGATCAAAATCCAGCCTCAGAAAAGAAAGATGAGGATTTAAAAAGAGCACATAATAATGTTTGATAAATAGCTTCTTTGCAAGGTATTAGAAAAACTATTTAATGTTTGTTCAGCATGTTGGAAATATAAAATCCTAAATCGGAGTTGGATTTTTCATAGCTTAATATAACAGATGGCATTAGTACAATTAAACTGAGGTGTGTTGCAAGAGGGATTATTTTTCTTCACTCATTTGCGGAACTAAATAAACTACTAGAGAGGTTGAATCTCATCCCACAAGTCTGATTTAAGAGCATTTGAAATAATAATGATATGTGAAGCTCAGCTGCAGTGAGAGGCAGTTTCTTTAGCACTGAGAAGTTTTATTTCCATTTCTATATTTGTTTTCATTTGGTCTCTCTAGCCTCCATTAAACAATTTTGCAGGCTTTCCTGGATATTGATGGATGTGTAGGGCATTTTATTGTCATAAAGAGAAACAAAAGTTGCCAGAGAGACCCAAGTTAGAGAAGCAAGCCATTGATTTCATGCCCTGGCAGCATACTGTCCTCCTGGGTCAGGCACCCTGCTGAGCAAGAGCATTGCTTTGAAGAGGATAATGTGGACTTGTTATTTAATGAAAATATTCCTGCAGGATCGGTCCTTCTGAATCCCCTTTGCTGGTGTGAGCACCTGTAAGGGTGGAAACAAGCCGGTGGTGCCTTTTAGGGCCCGCAGAAAACACCGCGTGCATTCATTGCCAAGGCAAGCGTATCCCTGGTCATGCTCAAATTTTGGTGGTGTGGTGGGACACTTGGTGCATTTTAGACTCTTCTCGAGTGAGTGTTGTTCTCGATCCCAGGCCCTGTTTAGGTGTCCACAATTGGTCCTAGCACAAGCAAAGCTTCTCACAAGATGGTTCTGGTCTGCCAAAACCTGGAGTGGGAGCTACATGATGGTGATGTAGCTGGACACATCCAGGAACACTGTTTGCCCACAAAGTCCTGCTCAGGTGTGTGTGGGCTTGAGCATCTGGTGACAGCAGGCATCTGTACCCCTGGAATAAGCTACATCTGAGGGAAGCTTCTGATGAAACAGGGTAGGTGTTTGATCCAGACTCTCCTTACCTCAGATAGACTCATCCACCCCCTTGATCTCCAGAAAGATGTTTTCACTTTCGGAATAAAACCAGCTTGTATAAACATTACAGAGGATCATGAGTATCAGATACAGCTGATGGATAACTTGGAAATCTAGCTAAGAATTTGTCTTCTTTCCTTTGCAGATGGGGATTATTGCAGATGCCAGGCTCAAGGAACTAACCCCGGCCATGCCTGTCATTTTCATCAAAGCCATTCCTGCTGACAAACAAGATATCCGTAGTATCTACCCATGTCCTGTATACAAAACACGTCAAAGAGGGCCAACTTATGTGTGGACTTTTAATCTTAAAACTAGGGAAAATCCTTCCAAGTGGGTGCTTGCTGGTGTGGCATTGCTGCTACAGCTCTAGGCTCACCAACAGAGCACCTCATTCACCAATCCCTAACAGTGTCTTTCTAGGACAATTTAAAAAACAGTATCCTGAGATTGAACCCAAGCTCCAGTTCACTGAGTACTGGGCACATAACCTAAAGAGAGCCTGCAAGAAGGTGGCAGAGGTGCAGAAGGACACATGGAACAGATTCTTGACTGCTACAAATCAATATCCTGTAACTCCTACAGTGCTGCACTGGAGCACTGGAAGATCCCAACCCACAGCCAGATCTTCCACACCAAGAGAGTGCTAAGCTTGAATCTGAATTTAATGTTTATTCTTCTAATGTGATCCAACGTAGTTTTAAAGTCAGTGGCCTTCTCCCAAATCCTTAGATAGTCCAGTGACCTGTGAAATTCTTCAGACCTTATTCTTTTCTATACATGAGTGTTTCTTTGTCATTTGTAATGTCAAAAGTAGGGAGATCAGCAGATATTGTGGATGTAAACTGCTAATATTCCTGTATTAATTTTAGAAACATTGAAAATAGTGTTAATATCCAGTGTGCTTAATGTAATCAACAGTAAAAATACAGCACAGGGATTATCTAAGAAGAATATTTCATAATGATAGAAACTTACTAATAAAAGTCATTATTCCTGGACTAGTCTCTAAAAATTGCCTGGAGGCCTGTATCACATGTTTATTCACTGTATGGAGAGTGCATTCAGGGTCGGGTGGAACAAACTCAGCTGTTTGGATAGTTGCATTTATAATTACAAATGGAGTGGGTGAGAACTGATGTGTTTCTACAGCAGAGTCACATAGAGGGATGACTGGGGTGTGCATTATCTTAATGAGCCAGACACACACAGTATTGCTCCGGACTGCAGCAGCTGAGGACTTGGGAGCTGGGAAATGTGAGGAGCTAGGTTGGTTGCCTGGGGAAATGGAGCTCTCCATGCTGTCTGCAGTGCTTCATTGCAGAGCACAGGATCCTGCCTCTCTCTAATAGTTGCTGTTTCTCTGCCTCATTTGGTACACAGTATTTTCGTGCCCCTCACCATGCAAGTAGCCATGGGTTTTTCATCTTTGGGGTTCACTGCCATCTCTGAGCTCGCTGCAGGTATCAGCTTGTGTGTCCGCAGGGAGGCTGTGTGGGAGGGAAGGGGAAGATGGCAGATGTGCAGAGGGTTTTGTCTCAGTGGAATAAGCACCAGTGAGCACCCCAAAACTTTCCCACCCTACCCAATGCCAGGCTACAATCTCACAGCCAGACTCGTGAGATTGGGGTTTGGGAACACCACAAACCCTGTTACTCAGACGAATCCCCAAAGTCAATAAACAATAAGGTTTAGGCCTGATTGGCAGCAGACCACAATGCAGCAGCTCTCTCTCCCTTCCCCTCCGGCAATGATAAGGGACAGAGAGCCAGGCTTGGGGTTCGAGATAGGACTGGGATGGGGAAAAATCCCCCTTTTATGATCACGAGCAAGAGGCAGACTCGTTAGGGGAAGAAAAAAAAGAACATACATTTATTACAGACACTAACAACACATAACAGAGTAAGACAGTGAGAAGCATTGCCACATCTTGAGAACACCTTTCCCCCACCCCTCCCTTCTTCCCGGGCTCAGCTCTGCTCCCTATATCTCTACCTCCTCCCCCAGTGGCACAGGGGCAGGGAATGGGGGGTGCAGTCAGCGCTGCCACTTTCCTTATCTTCAGTGAGGGGAGTGTCCGGAACTTGTTCCCCCTGCTCCATCGTGGTCCCCCTCTCACAGGAGACAGTCCTCCACAAACTTTCTCCGACATGAATTCCTCCCATGGGCCGCAGCGTTCCCCACACTGCTCCGTCATGGTTCACTAACTTCCTCCGACTGGATTCCCTCCCACGGCTGCAGCCCTTCCCGAGCTGCTCCGGCGTGGGACTCCCCCGCATGCTGCAATCCTCCCAGTGCTGAATTATAGCAGCGGGGCTGCCTTTTCCCACGAGACCCCGGCCTTCTTCAGGCACAGAACCTTGATCATCTGAGCAGAAGCCACAGGCCATAAATCAGTGTCTGCTCCACCGTAGATCTCCATGGGTGGCAGGGGGGGCTGCCCTGCCGTCTCCCCACAGGATACAGGGGGGTCTCTGCTCCGGCACACCTTCCCCCTCCTTTCTTCCTCCATTCCTCCACTGACCTTGGTGTTCATGCAGCTGCAGCAACTCCTCCTCACCAGTCCCACTGCCCGTCACCACGTCCCTTCTTAAATACGTTATCGCAGAGGCGCAGCTGATGGGCTCGGCCTTGGTGCAGAGGTGGAGCTGACGTGGAGCTGGGGGAGCTTCGAGAAGCTTCTCACAGGGGGCCGCCCCGATAGCCCCCTCCCCTGCCACCAAAAACTCCACCACTCACTCAACCCAGGACACCTTGACAAACACTGCCTCATCCTGAGAGGTCCTCGCTCGCCAGAGTTGGACTTGAATGGCCTCAGGTGTTTAGCACCAACTGGGGAAAGGGGAGGATCACCAGCAAACTCTGTGCCCACTGCCTACATGGTGACCTTGAAACTTCCAGGATCCTGTTTTGGGGCAGCCATGGGGTTCATAGGGTGGCAGCCCACCACCCAGAGAGACCTGCAGGTCTCAGTGAGTCACCTTGAGCTGCCCTGATACTCCATGAAGGACTCGGTCCTCCCACCTCATCTTGCACTGGTTATCAAAGAGGGGTAAGATCTGTCTCTCACTTCCCTGTGCTCACTGTGAAGGAAATCAAGTCAGTGGCTCAGACCAAGGTGTTTAGCTTCTAGATTTCTTAAATGAGGTGAGCTGGGCTGGATCTGCCTGTGGTAGGGGCACTGCAGCCATGGGAGAAGGATGTACCTCCAGGTTAGAAATTATGCTTCACAGCTGAGTTTGGAGCTCAGCATCACAGGAGTCCTTGCACACCAGCAGGTGGGAAAGACTAGTGGGCTGGCAAGGGCAGTGCATCCCATGAGCTGTGTCTTCTGGGTCACCCGGCAATGCACCTGGGACAAGCGGCAGCAGTACAAGATGGTCTATTGGTCTGAAATGCAACTGTGGTAGGTGTTCAGTGCTTGGGGTGGTGGAGCAGATCTTGGGAGGAAGATGGGTAAGAGACTCATGTACAAACCACAAAGTGTATCTGGGGATTACTTGCTGTATCTCCCTGAGCCCACTCTGAGCTGCCATATGTCACCAAGCCCACCCTGGCCATTTCAGGAATGCTGGCCATTTCAGAAAGGCTCCTCCAAAACCTGGGCCAAGCCCACTGTTGTGTCCCAATAAGCAGGAGCTCTCCAGCATCACTTGAGAGCTCTACAGGGAAAGCTTTTCAGAGACCTATAAATAAGTTTTCAACAGACTTTTTTTCCTCAGTCACAGCAACCTAAATAGATGGGTACATGTGAAATCTCTTAACAGTTAAAATCCAGGAAGCAACAGTGCTGATGTCCCCCTCTGAGCTCGCCTGTGCTCCATGTGTTGCAGTGCCTGGAAGCATGGCTGTGTTGCATCGTCCTGCTGTGCCCTGAGAAGCTCCCAGGAGGCAGCACTGTCACTCCTTTTCTGTCACTATGTACCTTACACTCCCACCCTTCCCTGGCCTGCTGGGGAATGCCCCTGTTGTTCAGGGCAGCTCTGCACAGCCCTATGTGCCATTTACTTATGGCTTTACCTATTAAACTGTCCTTACCTCAGCCCATGAGTTCTGGCTCTTTTACCCTTCCCACTCTCCCCCGTTCCCCTGGGAGGGAGTGGGCAAGTGAATGTGTGGTGCTTGGCTGCTACTGGGGTGAAACCACGACCATGCTTCTGTGGGTAGTGTTTGGTTTCTCAGAGCCTCATATCAAACTGGAGAGCTTTATGAGTCGCCTCAGCACACACTGATGGGGATGTGGTCAACTCTCTGCCAGTCCAGCATATCAACTTTCCACAGCATATTGTCCTCCTACCCAGAGTAATGTAGGAGGGTAAAGTCCTCAGGCTTTGCAGATCCACAATCATTTTCTCGGTCTGAACAACATAGCAGCTGTCCTCCTACAGGAATGAGGAGATGCGAAATCCTTGTTTTTGCAGTCCTGCAGCATGACAACCTTCTGGACGAAGGTAAGGTGGGAAAACTTCCCGTTAAGAACTTTGTTTAATTGCCAGGCAGTGTCTCTAAGGCACAGCCTCAAAAGATTAATGATAAAGCAGCTAGTTATGGTTTATCAAAAGGCATCTGCAAATATCTAATGCAAGGGAGAGATCTGTCTTAAGCTTCCTATTTTAAAATGCCTCTTAACCCAAAAATGAGGTAACAGATTCTGTAGATTACACTACATAATGAGTATCTGGCCAAAGGGATCTGTTAGCTAGGGAAAATTATGTTATTAAACTAAATCCCTCCCAATTGAAATTAAAACCTGCCAATTAGATATATGATGTAAACTGGTCACTTCCCATAACTTTGCAAATATGGGTGCATTAAATTCTCCATGCATTTCACCATGCAGGAAGTTTAGTTGCATAAACAGAGCACTCAGGGCTCTGTATGTGGAATTTCCTGCCATTCTGGAGACTGTAACTGTCCTAAACTTCATGCTGCTTCTCTTTTAAATCCCCTCTTCCTTTCTGCAGCATACTAGGGCCTCTCTGCTCAGTGTTGCCCTCCAACATGTCCCATACCTACAGGAAAAGCTAAGTTCAATAATTCCCCAGGCACTGCTGGCTCCTTCCAGAGCAACAGGCTGGGCTGTTCTCTTGCCAGCTGAAGAAGAATTGGATGTTGACAACAAAATGGATTCGATTGTTTTATTATATATATCTTCCTGCATAATTCACCAGTTGGGCAGGCAGGGTAGTGGGGAGATATTTATAGATACTAGAAATGTCACTAGGGTGCTCATTCCTCATCCTTTGAAAAATCATCACAGGAAAGGTTTGGCTGCAAAATGCTACAAGAGGATAGTGAATAATTTGATGCTTTTGGGGGAGAAAAAAAATCTGACAGGCGTGAGATTTTCCAGCCATATCTGCCTAAACCAGGCAATTAAATACAGCTGGCCAGGCTATTCATTAGGAGCGATGAATTAGTCAAAGGTGAATATTTTCTGTTCGCGATCTCTTGGAGACAGCCGCCCACTTGGCATTTCCAGTGCGCACCTTCCTTCCCACTCTTTGCCCTTGTTTGAGTGGAAAAGACTGAGCAGTGAAGAGCCCCATCCCCAAAGCCAGCACAGCCCAGTGCTGAGACTCCGGGGCCGGTGAAGCTGCAGCACTTTTCATGACATCCAAGGCGGAGCTGAGGTTGATCTGGACTGGAGCAGACAGGGCTGTGCAGCTGCGGGAGCAGGGCCATAGGGCAGTGGGGCAGTTTGGGGCAGTTTGACAGCAGGGGCCCATGTGGTTGCTCATTTTCAGGGAAAGCTGGAGACCCTGGGAAGTGAATTTTACATCATTAGAACAAGTCTCATGAGGCCAGGCTCCAGGCCCAGCCCCAAAGCTGATCTCCTGCCCTACAGCCCCCTCAGTCTTAATCCCTCCATCCCAGATTCACCACTCACCTCCCCAGGCCCGCTGCAACCCCAAACCTTCCTTCTCCACAAAACCAGACACTGATCATAAACCAAGTAAACAAAGATTTAAAAAATCAAGTAAGTGTTTTTGGACAAAAGAAATTCCTCTTGCA